CCATTTTTTCCATCACCTAAATTCATTTGATCACCATGTATTTCATCACGATGATTTGGATCATAAGCACGTCCAGGATGAATTCGAGGACGACATACATCCGGCGATGTATAGTTACGGTAACGTTGTACAACTTCAGGTGTAGAAAATTCAACTGGTTTATCAGTTAAAACTTCCCATAACTGATCATGTGTTAAAACTTGTTTTACCGTAGATGCCATTGACAAAAAAAAGAAATATTATTTTATGTTTGCTTCTTACAACTTTTATCGCCAATCTGTGTTTGTTCGGATGCCAAGCAACGACGAACGAACAGACGAACGAACAACATTATATCTTTTTTTCTTTTTTTTTCTTCTTTCTTCTTTTCTCAATCACAAATAAAGAATACTTTTGGCTTATGTTTTGTTTTCTTTTTTCTGTTGATTAACAAAAAAAAAATACTGAAAACTATGGTTGTTATTTATTATTTGAATAGGATCAAAAGGAATAGATGATCCATAATGAAAAAGATTCAATACACAAAAGAAAATATTCTATAATTCTAAGAACAATGAATAATATAAATAACTGAAAATGATTTCATGATTCATGTGATTATCGGGTGTACAAGCCACTACTGTTACTACACATAGTAAAAGATCAATATCACTATATGTGAATTCAGCAATCCTAAAAAAGAATCAATAATATTGTTTTCAAAATGAATATAAGAAAGTAGATATTAAGTATCAATTTACTACATAGAATGATAGAGCAAACGAGTCTCTATTCAATGCGACGTTTTTTTGTAGTCGAGATACATCAATCTTACAGAACCTATTAAACTTGTTTTTTTTCTAATTTTCTATGAAAAAAAAGATCTATTTTGACTTTTAATCAAATTGCTTTATCTCAATCAAAAAATGTCACAGAGAATTCGTCGATGATTCATGGTTTGAAGTCCCTATTTTTAGAAATCTGATAATAATTTTTATTTTCTTATATTATTGTTGAAAACCATTTTCTACTATTTAGATTCTTTCTAACGTTTACGGTAGTAGAAACAAAAATTGAAAATGAACCTTGATGAATGATTTTAGCAGCCACAGTATGTGTGTGTTATCAAGAATTGCAAAATCAGAAAGATTGATTATTAATTCATTGATATTCTATAACGTTCTTCGATTAATTTGATTACATTGAATAAAAATGAAATAATACTTTTCTATAGGAAGACTAATCACTTCTTGAATGCCATCGTCTTCCTGAATCTGATAGTATATCAAAGTACTATGGAAATTACTCAAATAAAACAATTGCTTCAGCTTCGATATATTCGGAGAACACATAAAATGATATAAGAGAAAGTTTTTATTATTTATGATGAACATTTTACAGCATCGAAATACTAACGATGCTGAAGATTAAAGAATAGTTTGTGGATCATCTTGCAAGATCTCGAACTTGAGATATGTTATCAAGTACATATTTATTTGCTTGATTCTATAATCGTAAAAAAAAGAAACGATAATTATTTCACTTCTAGAAAAAACCTAGATCGTGTGCATTACACAAATGATAAATCAGATCATTCATGTTTTTGAATTGTTGCATACGCTTTATTATGAATCTCCTAATGTACGTGTATAGATCGAGAACGATAAATCTCTAATTGCAAACAAATAACTCGTATTTCCATGAATAACTTGCTACTGTTTCAATTCATATTTTTATTATGATACTGTATTGACAAAAAATGATGAAATATGAGATAATACAAGCTATGAAACGACAATCATGTTCCTAGTGCTGTCATAAATCTTCCAAAGACTGGTAAGTTGAGGAGAAGCACAATCAAAAATGTGTCTAACTCATAAATAACATGCGACTTTTCTAACATTTCGAGCTCAGAAACCTATCGATTTACCTTAGACTAACGAGTGAAAAATACAAAATTTCTCCTGAATTTTAGCGACATCTTCCACATTCTCGACAATTCAATAGAAATAAGTACAAACTATGTTTCATAAAGTACAAGGACAAAAACTGTCGTCCAAATACTGATATCTATCAGTTTTGATTGACATAGCTTTTAGACTTAACAAGCATAAGAAAAAATTGAAGTGGATATCAGTTTCTATGCAAATCTCTAATTGTCAAAGTTCATGACTGTTATCAGATGCTAATAATATGATATGATATACATGGTTTTACTATCAACCGTAATATCAATTATTTATCATGGTCTAACTTGTGCAAATTCATTCAATGTAGACTGTCTTCTCCATGAATTAACTATGACAACCTCTATTAATTGACAATTACTTCTACCCAGTCCTTATATGTTAAGTCGGAAGACAATTATTTAAAAATTCTTGATATTTATACGAAANATAAATCTTCCAAAGACTAGTAAGTTGAGGAGAAGCACAATCAAAAATTTGTCTAACTCATAAATAACATGCGACTTTTCTAACATTTCGAGCTCAGAAATCTATCGATTTACCTTAGACTAACAAGTGAAAAATACAAAATTTCTCCTGAATTTTAGCGACATCTTCTACATTCTCGACAATTCAATAGAAATAAGTACAAACTATGTTTCATAAAGTACAAGGACAAAAACTGTCGTTCAAATACTGATATCTATCAGTTTTGATTGACATAGCTTTTAGACTTAACAAGCATGAGAAAAAATTGAAGTGGATATCAGTTTCTATGCAAATCTCTAATTGTCAAAGTTCATGACTGTTACCAGATGCTAATAATATGATATGATATACATGGTTTTACTATCAACCGTAATATCAATTATTTATCATGGTCTAACTTGTGCAAATTCATTCAATGTAGACTGTCTTCTCCATGAATTAACTATGACAACCTCTATTAATTGACAATTACTTCTACCCAGTCCTTATATGTTAAGTCGGAAGACAATTATTTAAAAATTCTTGATATTTATACGAAAAGAGATTTACTCACTGAAATACTTCCTAGTAAAACTTGATTAACAGTAATATAGAGATGAAGATATAATACGATAAGTTCATCAGCATGATTTATTGAGATTATATTGGAATAACACTGATAAGAAGCAAAAAGATCAAAAGGAAAACACAAAGAGTGATATACTTCTAATGAATCAAAGATAACAACTAATAAACTGCTACTTCTACTGTTGAACAATACAACATGAAGGAAAAACATAGACAAAGAAAAACAGAAAAAAAAGATCGATCACCAAAGAACAATAGTTGAAACTTTAGTATATCAACAGTGTCATCTTTGAATACTAACACAGATCTTAGATGATTTCTTATGTTGAAGAGAGAAATTATAGATAACTATATTGAAACATTCATCATTTATTCAATACTTATGTCAATAGAACTGGACAACGAAGTTCTCTGAAAGTTAAAACAAAGTAAATTTAATAAATGCTTTCTCGCAATCTTCAAATGACAAGTAGTAGTTTGATTGTACAAGATTTTCCTAATAGCTTGTCAAATGCCTAGTTCAAACAACAGTAAAATGATAACTTTAAATGATTGCAAAGTTGTCACAACCTTGTAAATGTCCCGATCGAGACGTTCTGTATTTTTTTTTTGATTATTTGATTCTTCATTGTTCGGTTTACTATGAAGACAAAAAGAGTACATCTGTCGAACTCTAATCATTGTCAAAAGAGAAATTCTATAGCGATAATTGACCGTGTCTACTTTGTTTCTAAATGGACAACTCATAGAACAAATATTCTTCTCCTTTTGTCCATTGTTGATTATATTCAATATATTGTCTGATTATATAACAGATCCATTTTCTTTCATTGCATTACAATGACTGTATTGCACATAGCATATCCCCGAAGGCTAATAATGTCATTGTGGCGGACGGCCATTGATCGTTGAAGCATATATCGACGTACTTTCTTCATCAAGTTCCAAGTAAATGCCGACAAATCTGTTCAATCGACCATTTTCTTCTATCAATCGTTTGATATATCTAACATATTACGTATTTCAATCGAAAGAATTTATTCATCTATCAGTCTGTCTGTCTATGTTGAAATAGAAAAATAAATTAAAAGTCACGTTTACATTTGAATAAAGTACACTTCTAAACTTTGAATGTCTAATGAACTTCTGACTATCAAATAACTATATAAGATGATTTCTTTTTTCTTTTTTTTTCTTCTTATCTATTTATGTTTTCTATTCACATCATTGACAGAGATGTAATTACGAGAATATATAAAAAAAAGAAAATATACATAGAGAGTAGAAGAACGCTCTTCCGTTTCTCGCCCCTGCTGGCACTTTTATATACACATCTGCTTACTGATTTTGCTCATAGAGCTTTATCGAGTGCTGAGTGTGTCGGTCAGGAGAAAGAATTAGTAATGAGGCTGACCAATCGAGAAAAAAGGCGAACATTGTTCATCAACATCTCCCTCCTATTCTTTTTCTTTCCCCACCCTCGTTTTCCTCTTGACGCGTATGAAGAGAAGAGAGGAAAATCCCGCCGTCATCATTGTCGTCGACGAGACGTGTGCGTACGCAAGTTGAACGAGAGTATATAGTAGAAGCGTGTGATAGAAGAGAAGAGAAAAAAATACGGATGATGGTAGCTAAAGAAGAGAAGTAGAACAAGAGAGGAGACGGACCGGCGTGTGGAGAGAACATCTATTGCTTTTTTTTCTCTGACAACAAATAATACGAACAAACAGCAATTTGCATTCATAGGTTTAGGTAAAAAAAATTGAACAACAATAATAGCAATCATTCTCCTCTGACCGATTATGACATCGTCTTCTTTTACGACGTATTCTATCTGTTGAACAAATATATTCAACTGATCCATTGATACAGACAAAACTATGCCACACCAATATCAACTTTAATCCGTATACTCGTAATCATCAATCGTCAATTATCTACGCTATTCTTCTTTCCATTTTTCGACTATTCACACAATTGAACACGTTTTTATATGATGATATATAATTAATTTTAAAAATGAATATAATGGAAAATGCTGAAAAAGAATGTGCCATACTTGGCTCATTATTTCAAGGAATCGTCAATGAAATGAAGGTTTGTATTAATATAAGATAATATTCAATTGTTGCCCGTTAGTCAGAAAAAAAAAGAAAATGTTACATCTGTTTAGCAAAAAAAAAGAAGCATATTAATATGAAGACCTTTTAATACCAAGGTTTTCATCATTATATGCATCAATTATAGTTCATAGCGGAAAGAAAGATCATCGTACTCTTTTGAACAAAAAACAAATGAATATTTTCTTTTTCGTTCTTTTCTTTTAGAATAGTTCAACATTATGGGAAGATTTAGTGTCAAAAGCAAACAAAATGCATCTTCAACTTAAGTAAATTTAATATAATTATATTTTATCAACCTTGAAAAATCATATTGAACTATAGAAGAAGAAGAAGAAGAATACTATTATGCACGAGATGTTCATTGTATTTGCCTGATCGAATCAATAGGAAAAGCATTTGACAAGAAATGCTGTTGTGACTACAGTCATAGTTGATTTTCTTTTATGTCTATCATAAACTATATATCTTTTCATTGATAAGTATGATCGATAATTGAATGATATACATGCACGCAAACCAAGTAATACTTGTTTGAAGAGAAAGAGTTAGTTTGTTTCAGCTGTCACAATAATTACTTCAATAGTCATTAGCACTTGAATGAGTACTGATGTTCAATGATATATAGACTAGTCGACTAGACTATCATTAGTTAACATGAATGAAAAAAAGAAAGAAAAGAAAGAGTGTGTGTACGACCAATATATCAAGTATATACCTTTCAGCTTAGCTAACAAACTCGATAGACGAGAAATGGGTCTACGTAAAATTGGTTATTTTGATATTTACAAACTGATCCTGTTCAATTTTTTCGTTTTTTGTAAATGTCAATGAGGATTTTTATTATAATTTGTGTACAATTTATGACATGATTCATTTGATATGATAAATCATCTATACACATCTATCATTGCACATAATTACTATTGTCTTTTCATCTTTTTCTTTTTTGTTTTTCTCATATAGATCAACAATAATCACTTTCAGTCTTTTTCTTGATGCTTTTCAACGTATTGCTGATTTAGCAACAAATACAAAAGGTGCCACAAAAGATATTGGTACAGCATTAACACGTTTAATTTTACGTCATAAATCAATTGAACAAAAATTAAAATATTTTACAAATTCATTTATTGAAACATTTATTCAACCATTAAATGATTGTATTGAAGAATGGAAAAAATCTGCAAATATATTAGATAAAGATCATGCAAAAGGTCTCAAAGGTATATATTTTTATTTTCTTTTTCATTTCATATAATTAATATTATTTATAGATTACAAAAAATTACGTAATGAACTACGTAAGAAAGCTTCAGAAACTATTAAATTACAAAAGAAATGTAAAAAATGTAAGTTAAACATAATTAATAAATAATTTATTATTCTTTTTTTTTTTCCGTTTTATCAAGTGCCGAAACATGATATTCTGCATAATAAATTAAATTCAGCAATACAAGAAGTAACAAATTATTATGGAATGTTAGAAGAACGTGAAAAACAAGCACTTCGATCAGCTATGATTGAAGAACGTAGTCATTTTTGTACATTATTTACTTTATTAAAACCAGCTATGGTAGATTTATTAGTTTGAAAATAAAAACAATTTCAATGAGATTATTTTTTCTCTAGGAACTGGAAATTTCACTCGCATCTGAAATGAGTCATGTTGAAGATCTTGTACAATGTTTAAATAAAAACACAAGTGATCCACATTGTTTACCATTATCTAGTGAACAAGTTATTAAAGATTTAAAAGGCATTGATTATAGTACTATTGTAGCATTTAAAGTAAGCTTATATGAATTAAATCTTATTAAAACACAATATTTCATATAGACTCCACCTTCATCACCTGGTTCATTAAGTTCACGAAAATCAAGTGTTTGTTCAATAAATAGTATTAGTAGTTCATCATCAAATTCAACAAATAATTCACGAAGTCCAAATCATAAACAAAGTCAATTAAAACAACATCAATCACAAATACCTTTACCAATTCCCCATCAATTTTGTCATTTAAATGCAAATCGAACATTATCAATGCCTGTATGAAAGAGCAAAAAAAAAATTTTTTTTCTAGTCAATTTTGTGAAACACGATCTAAAAGGAATGTTGAAGTACATACAATAGATACAGACAGACGATGACATATTTGAGCTACTCGTATATACACTGCCTAGCCATGAGGGTACGTGTATGTCACAACTTACTCAGCATATTATCGAACGGGTAATCTGAGACAAACAGTCCTTCGTAACTTGCCCAGGGTCATTCCATGGCTGATGTTATCAATGTTTGAACAAAATATCTATTTGATACATACCGAACAACATTGCCATTCAGCCCCTGGGAATCGCAATGCCTTAGTAACATCCCCCCCCCCCCCCCCCCGATTCTTGATAATATATGAACTACTTTCCTTATTCGATTTCTGGAGAAGGATGCTGAGGAAATCTATCCCAAAATAGATAGAATAAAATTATCTTTCTGTGATTAGTAATAGCAGCTGCATCGTGTTTCACATTTTAATCCCGCAGGGATTGCGGTAATAGCTTTTTTAAAATCTTTTCATGTTTAGTCAAATGTAGCAGTGAGTCGTATATCAAGTATTTCATCGCAAGATTCAGGTTTTACATCTCAAGAACAGTTTTTTGCTCGACCTCCATCACCATTAGAAGAGTCAGAAGTAAATAAAATAACAAACTTATATTCTTTCGACAATTTAAAAATTAATATCTTCATATCTAGCGTGAAGTTGATGGAAGTACAAGTCCATTATTAGTTGTTTGTTCTACATTAAATGCTTGGGCTAAACGACCTGAAATTCCATCAAATTGTAAACTTCCAGCAACAGTAACTGGTGCACCAGAACCAATAAAAAATTATCGACCAGCAATAACAGCACATACATTTGATCCTCCACCAGCTAGTTTATTTGAAAAACCAAATTGGCAAATCAATGAAGATACAAATTCACGAACATCAACTGTTTGTATTTTTAATTTTTAAAGAATATATATATAGAGAAGAAAAAATGAATCTGATTTAAAATAGATGTCTGATGATACTACATTATCTCGTCAACATTCAGTACCTTCTCGTCGTTATCGAGTACGTGATCTTAGTCTTGAAAGACATTCACCAATGAAAGAACAATCAACAATAAATCATATTAATAATGGACGTGTTAAATCGATTCAATCACCAACTGTACCACAAGAATATTACGGAACTATTATCGAACAACATAGTTCAGGTATTCATTAGTAATCTAATGTAAACTAAAGGGTTTAATTTCCTACAGTCTGTTTATATTAAGACAAAAAAATTACAAGATCATTTATTGTACCGTAGAACGGAAGAAGCATGCATCCAAAAATATTAATCAGTTGTTCATTGAAGAGTCAAGGTTATCTTATATACCATAATACATATTATCATAGTTGTGCTTTTCTGAAGGTTTCAGTTATAATATCTGAAGCTTATCGGAAATAAGGTCTTTATTTCTGCTTAAGTGATAATAAAATATGAGGTTTATAAGAAAGAATTTAATTAGTTTGTGCTGATTTATACATAATCTTCGAAACATTTATAGATGCAATATTTCTTGTCTATTTTATCTGAAATTGGTTCACTATAAGACTGTTTTCATTCATATTTATTGATATGTATTGCATTAGAGTACCTCTCTTGCCATTATATTACTTAGTTTCATTATAGAGAAAAAAAAAATCTATTAGTAAAATCTCTATGGAATGAATGTGTGAAACATGTTGCAACTGCTTTTATTACAGACATAAGGATTTTAGTTTATATTCTCTTGAGTTTTGTCGGCTACTACATGTCGTGACGACGAGACGATGTTAATCAAAATATAGCATAGTAACATGTCGGTACAAATGATAGTTAGATTAAACTTCCTGTCATAGAACGAAACCAAAAGAAATAAGTGTCCAACGAAAATCTACAATAAATCACATATAATTAAGAACTACGGTTATACAATTATATTCTTTTTGTGTTTTTAGAAGACATCAACCAATGTTTTCGAAATGGTTCATTGCCATCTGAAACTATGGTAAGAAATATTCTTTACTTTTATATCTAACAAAAGAAGTCATTCAACTGACTAATGACTTTTCAATACGGACTATGCGCATCGTGTAGATTCAAATGAGTTTTGAATATCGTGAAAAGCGTTCAAACTCTTAGCTTATATCTACATACATACTGCAAATTTACAGTATTTTCGTCAAAGGCTGTCTCTGTACAAAATTCTAAGTTGACATGCGAAAATCAATTTTCCTCGTGTTTCTTAAGGGAACTACGGTATTCATTTAAAATATACCGTAAAGTGTTGTATCTTTGAAGTAATATGCTAAGAGCTTGAATAGTTTTCAGCGGATTCATAGCTCATTGGGTCTTACATTAATGCATGCAATCTCAACTCAAAAGTAGTTTATCAGTTGAGAGACGTCGCTTGTAAACGTTAAAAGCAAAAATAATTATTTCTATAGGTATCTGATGCACGAACAATTGTATGGCGTGATCGTCTACGTCAAAATGGTAATAGTTCTTATAGTATTCCTAATGGTAGGCCATCATTTGAATCTGCTGATGAAACACTTGATGAAAGTTAGTTTATTAAATTCTTATTAATACAATTTAAACTAAATTTTTTCTTTTTTAGTGTATGATTATTTAACAAAAAGTATGTATAATGTTAAAGAAATATTTACAAATGGAAAATTAAATTTTTTTTTGTTCTAGGTATTCATTCATCTAATCAACAACAAAAAAATGAAACACTTCGTCGTGGTATGTCAATAGGTTTAAATCATAATGAAAAACCTGTACCACCAGTACGTCGTACGCCATCAATAAATACAAATACTCAACATACAAATAATACATGTGTTAAAGTACGTTTAAAATGTGTTCAAGAAATAATTCAGTCAAATACTAATGATGATTTTCCTCCACCACCCGAATTTCTTTTATCTAATGATGTAAAATCAGAAACACTATCATTAACAACAGCTCATTCATCATTACTTGCAGAAATTCAACGTGGTGGTTTTAAATTACGTAAAACGGTGATTGATCGAGATAGATCAGTTCCACGTACAAAATAAATAAACTTTCGTTTTTGTTTTCTCAGGAACGTTTTTTTTTCTTTTGTGCAGATGATGAACCTTATTTATATTTAGTCTTGACAAATGACCATAAGAAGTTTTTTTCTTTGTTGTTTTTTTTTTTTTGTATATAACTTATATAATCAAATTTATTCATGTATTATTCTTTGTGAAATTTTGTTTTTTGTTGTTGTCGTCTGTTTTTTTATTCAGCAAGTATTGGTGGATTTTGTGCTCCATATTTAACAAGTATTATTACAAAACATGTTTGTATTTTTAATCGATATTTCTTGTGAATATTTTATTTTATGTTCGTTTTTTTGTTTTCTAGAAAACAGCTACTCAATGGAGAATTNGGTTTTCCTCACCCACCCTAATTTCCTTTATCTAATGATGTAAAATCAGAAACACTATCATTAACAACAGCTCATTCATCATTACTTGCAGAAATTCAACGTGGTGGTTATAAATTACGTAAAACGGTGATTGATCGAGATAGATCAGCTCCACGTACAAAATAAATAAACTTTCGTTTTTGTTTTCTCAGGAACGTTTTTTTTTCTTTTGTGCAGATGACGAACCTTATTTATATTTAGTCTTGACAAATGACCATAAGAAGTTTTTTTCTTTGTTGTTTTTTTTTTGTATATAACTTATATAATCAAATTTATTCATGTATTATTCTTTGTGAAATTTTGTTTTTTGTTGTTGTCGTCTGTTTTTTTTTCAAAGACAAGCATCATACTCATATCAGATAGTTCCATTTTTTTTTTCTAAAGATATTGCTGGGAAAAGAATGCAGATGTGTTCTGTGTGGGACGAACAAGATATAGAGAGAAAAAGCGTACTGCTAAATCGATTTTATTTTATTTGGACGAAAAGATTTTTTTTCGAAAATGAAGTGTTCTGGTAATATGAAGATTTTTTTTTACGGTATTCTTTTGTTTGAAAATAGTTTTGTTTTAAATAGTTATTTATTCGTCATTCATATTTGCAATCATTTTAATTGCTGGTTCAAAAGTGCAATGTGCTTCATCGTATTCATCGAAATATTTGGCTAAAAAGGTTAAGAGAAATTTGATATTTTAAATGTATAGATTACATCGATAAAATCACTACCGTTGACCAATCGATCAAGTACGATCCGGGTCTGAAAACTTTGGATCCGACGAGCTCTAGCTAAAACAGAGATGCGATTAGTACCGAAACGAATTTTAAATCGGCTTGTCTACCGATCTTCAAACATTCAGACTAGTTCTATCTATGATACATGATCGATCTGAGAGCGAGCTCGAGTCTACAATAAAATTAAACAATATGAATTTAGTATTGTTTTGTACGTAGATTATATCTGTAAGATTAATGAATATGACTTTGACAAAATAACTGATTCATATAAGAATAGAGACATGGTAGATTAAATCTAATCAGATTTTTGTAAGTAATACTCAAAATGAACAGGTAAAAATGATTGATAATGATAAGAAGAATGTTGCTTCAATGTGTATAGGCGTATGTGTATAGCAATCGTTTTTTTTTTGTTAAAAATAAAAACAAATTGCAAATATTTGCTTTTCGTTCTCAAGTTAGATAAGCTAGAGCAAACATTCTGTGAAAGCAAAACTAAGGAGTGAACTGAAAGTTTCAAAACAGAATAGTTGACTATGTTTTGCATATTTATATGCATTGGTAACATATCAGAATCAGAACTTTATACTCTTTCAGAATGCATGCTTAGAATTTTTCTATGACTTTTGCCTATTGAACAATAAATAAATTTTGACAGGGCTCAAAAATAATTTTCTGAAGAGGCAATAATCTTATTTTTTATAAGACAAGTCAGTCATCAAATTAGTCTTGTAAATATACACTTCATGAGGGTAATAATCACACAAGAGTGGAGAGTTCTGGTTAACTTAATGAAATATGCCAAAATCGTGATTGCGGGCGGGCGGGGGGAAGGTCATGTTATACTAAAAAGACGAAAATTGGAAAAATCGAAATTTTTCTTGCAATCAACTTTATCAAAATCGATTTGTAGAAAATTTTTTGTCTCAAATAAGTTTTGTTTAAGGTATATTCTCGAAAAGCATAAAATTTTCATTATAATACACTACCAACACATTTAAATACTCAAAAAAGAGTCAAATATTTTGCCCAGAAACTTTCGATCCACTTCTTCGTTAGATACATCGTTATATTAAATACTGCGATTGCAATGATATTAAATTCATTCCGTTGATCTGCATTACTACATTTTATTAACCTACAGTTGTTTTTTCCAAGGAAAAATTAATGGAGAAATTTAAATATATGTCATTTATAATTTAACAGAGAAATGCACCTGAAGGTCGCATTGAACCAGTTACAACAAGTCTTGTAAGTGTTTTTTTTCTTTTGTTTTATTCAATATTCTACTATTTTTTATAAAAAAAAAAGATTGTGTCCGCTCTTGCTCCTGTAGTTCTTAATCTCTTTACTGGTCTTTTGGGTAATTTATTCAACAAGCCCAATGATACTGAACAAGTTTGTATGACAAATTATTCAAATCAAAATATTCCATATATATGTTTTTTCTAGCGTGTTATTTATGGTCGACCAATGCAAGTAAAATTATGCGGTGATGCAAATTGTATGCAATTATTAGATAAAGGTTCAGGTATAACAACTGTAGGTAAAGGTGATACAGTTCAACATGCATTGGGTGATGCTGTTGGCGCAATGTTAACAGCTTTATTAGAAAGAAATTTATTAAGCATGCATGATTTATGTCGTGAACATATTCATTTTCCTCATCCAGATAAAGAAAATTGTCCTCATGTAGAAATTAATACGTGTGAACTTAGTAAACCTGTTTTACCTCAATGTAAATATAAAAAGAAATTAATACAAAACAAAACAAAAAAAACTGCTTTTTATAAAAATTTTTTTAGCTGCATGTATGGACACGCACGGCGACAAATATTGTAGTAATATGAAAAACTATTGCAAGGATACTATGTTTGCAACATTTATGATGGCAAATTGTTATAAGACATGCACGTATGTTGAAGAAAAAAAAAACAGAAGTCATTTTGATACATTTAAAAATGTCTTTCCTTTCTTTTTTTTTTTCAGAGACAATTGCTACAAGCCACCACCTGGTCCATGTGATTACTAAACATAAAAGAAAAAAAAAGGGTTCATGGCTACTTCATTTTATCTAAAATAAAGAGATAATCATTGATAAAAACTTATTAGATGCTTTATTATTCTATAACATGCACGAGAATTATTTAAAAAAAAAAAGAGAAAGAAAAGAGATTATTTTGTTTAAACAGTTGGATTTTTCGAATTTATTTCCATTAATTCTTCAGCACCATCATGATCATTTTTGTTTTTTTCATCGTGTATATCATCACGTGCCCAAGGTTCTGTTTCACCACGAGCTAAGAATGAAAAAGCAATAGCTGATATAAGAAATGATGCAGCATAGAGCATAAATGCAATTCTCCATTGAGTAGCTGTTTTCTAGAAAACAAAAAAACGAACATAAAATAAAATATTCACAAGAAATATCGATTAAAAATACAAACATGTTTTGTAATAATACTTGTTAAATATGGAGCACAAAATCCACCAATACTTGCTGAATAAAAAACAACGAAAAGATTTAATTTCTATAATAAATACATCAAAATTTATTCATACAAATTGTATTGCAAATACCAAAAACAACACCCGAATGAACACCACTAAAATCTCCAACATTAACGATATAACCTCCTGACATCATAAAACCACTAAAATGAAGAAATTTTTTTTTTTTTTCGAAGAAAACCTTTGATGATATTTTACTTTAATGCTATTCCAATAATTAATAAAACAACTGCTAAATAACGATGTTGACAATCAAGAAATGATATTAATAAAAGACAAATAGCTGGTGTTAATGTACCGACACCATGAAATAATTTTCGTGCATTAACACGTTTCAAATATTTTTTTTCTATTATAAAATCAGCTAAACCACCTGTTAACATAACAATAATAAAACTTGCAATATGTGGTAATGCTGAAAGAAGACCATTTTCTTGAATACTAAATAATAAAACTTCATTCATATATTCAGGAACAACTGTCCAAACAGCTATTAAAATAATAAAAAAATTAACAATTAACAAATAAACAAACAAAAAATTATACAAAACCATAAAGACCAAAATCACAAAAAAACATCGATATAAGAATACACCAAAAAGCTTGAGATCGAAGCATCGGCATCCATGGTGTTTTCTAATATAAAAATAAATAAATAAAACAAAATATTATAAATAAATTTTATTCGTACAGTTTTTATGTCTTGAATTTTTTCATCTGCTTTACATGTTCGAATATATTCTTTTTCCTTTGTCGACATATGTTTATTTGTTATAGGTGTATCACTTGCAAAAATAAGCCAAGCAATTGACCATATAATACCAAGACCACCTAGATATAAATAAGTTTGTCATTTATTAAAATAATACAGTTCTTTTTTCTTTTACCGAGAAGATATAAAAAATATGCCCAACCATAACGAAAAATAAATGGTATAGTATCATTTAATGAAAATGTACAAAATAAACCACCGAGTATTAATGAAATAATTGTACCCATTGAAGGTCCTATATAATATTTCTTTCGAAATATTTAAATAAAAATTTTAAAAATTTACCAGCACTTTGAAATGAAAGAAGCGTTGCTCGTTCAGATGCTGGTGCCCATGTTGACCAAAAACGAAAAATAGTTGGCCAAAGACCACCCTATCATATATATATATATATAGAAATAATCAGATCAAAATATTTAATTATTAAACTAAATAATCATAAAATCACTATTTTGAATGAATGATCAGTAAATTAATTAAATAGTCAATTAGTGATGAATAAAATCTGTTAGTACATATAAAGATCAGTGAATAGAATTCAATAGCAATTATTTAAATCAAGAACTAAATATCGGAATGGAAATTGTTCAACTTCAGCTTTGAGTCCACAATNCGTCGAAGTTATAACTTCGTCACGTTTATACGACGAAGTTGTAACTTCGTCAATATCGATCGACGAAGTTATAACTTCGTCAAGAATGTTGACGAAGTTATAACTTCGTCGACCGGTGTAATTTCGATACGACATATATATAGAAATAATCACATCAAAATATTTAATTATTAAACTAAATAATCATAAAATCACTATTTTGAATGAATGATCAGTAAATTAATTAAATAGTCAATTAGTGATGAATAAAATCTGTTAGTACATATAAAGATCAGTGAATAGAATTCAATAGCAATTATTTAAATCAAGAACTAAATATCGGAATGGAAATTGTTCAACTTCAGCTTTGAGTCCACAATAGTAAAAACTTCTCATTATATATTTGAAAATTTTCATATCAATCTGATGATTTAATAGTTTTGGTTCCTGGTAATTTTTGGATCATCTGCTCTCTAGTTGTCGATATTCTTTAGCAGTGGAAGGAATTAATAATTCGATAGAAATTACTTTTATCCTCGGAATGCTAAAAGTGCTGACCGAAGGAGGAGAAGATAATAAAACCTGCCATGACTTGGCCTCTGTCATAACAGACTACCTGCTTTCAGGTCGTTTCTCTCATGAGACCTGCTTCAATCGTACTTATCTAGCAACGATATTGTCTGCTTATTTTTATTTCACTTTCTACTAGCGAAAGGCAAACGATGTTTCAAAATCCAGTTTCTATTCAAAGTTACCAAGAAGTTGTAAAAAAATTAGCAGAAAGTTGAACATTTGGGGGAGACGGAGGCAAATGCCCCTTTAATCGAAAACCCTGGAGCAGAAACATCAATTTAACATGAAACAATAGTTTATTACAGATGCAACAAAACAAGATCTCGTAGAGCTTAATGTAGAACAAGTATTTATCTGCTATATTATATAAGCAATGAAAAAAGTTACTGCTTATAGAAGTAATGCTGGGCATGATAATCATAAGGGATGCTGGTGTAAATGCAAGGAAAATCTATTGAAACTCACACCCATGCCTTAATGTACTGTGTAGTTGCTATTTTGAATCATAGTCACGCAGTATACAACCACGCCCTATTGTATACGAATAAAAAACAAAACTCTGGTGATAAAATTTATGTTTTTCACTGCTCGAATTCGTATTTTTTTTTACTGCTTATTATATAAACTGACTATTCAATAATAATTCAATCTTTATACTGATCATTTGTGTATTATTTTTCATCGACAATTTGAATCACAGTCAAAAAATAATTTAAAGTCTTCAAAAACAAATACATAAAAATTCTAATCTATTAATCTTATTCATACTTGAGCTGCACCAGCAAGAACACGTAATAGAATAACAATTGATGGATGAAATTTAGCAAAAACTGGTAACAATATTGTAGATATCGATGAAAGAAATATAAGTAATGCAAGAAAACGTTTTGGACCAAGTAAATTAACCACAACTGATGAAACTATTTGTGTTAAGGCATAACCCCAATAGAATGAACCAAGTACAACACCACGAGTTTGTTTTGGCCACTGAAGAACTTGACTTGGCTATAAAATATTACAAATATATAAAAAATAATATATAAAATAATTTCATACCGATCGACTCTTTTCTATTGTATGTTTATGACATGACGCTGGTATATTTCGTTGGTTACTAACAGAATCACTACCATGTGTTGATGTTGTATTATCTACATCAGGATTAACCATACAAACGATACTCACACTAAAATAAAATTCATGTAAAACTTTATTGACTTGTTAATATATATTCATACGAAAGTCCATTTCGTTGTGCATAACATAGAAAAAATCCAAAAAATGCCAAAAAAGCAAGAAGTAAACGATGTGAACATACGAGTGGGTCTGTTATTTAAATATAAATTAATATATATATATATATATATATAAATATTTTAAAAGGAAAATATCATACATTTTTCTTGTGATGTTCTATTGGTTGTATCTACTTCTTTATCCTTGGTCATGATAAAATGTTATCCTTTAAAAAAAGAAAACATAGCATTTATCACAAGTTTGTCAAGAAGAAAACTTTTCTAACAGAATTATAATCGGTAAACGACCGGTACACTTTTTTTCTCAGTTCCTACATGTGTGTTTGTGGTAAATCAAACAATATTTATTGATATCGAAAACTATTTCTGTGGGAAACGATGCATCAGACTATTCTATTTAGTCAAAACTTATCATATTTTATCAATTTACTTTTCATAACAAGTTATATTATGAAAACAAAATTAATTTATTAGTTATGTTGTGCATAGTTATAGGAGGTAATAAGACGAACATAATGTCGGACACATATTAAATATACAATTAATTAATAACGCCTATGCATGATGAATAGTTGAAGAATGTAGAAAGCTGATATAGAATTTGAAGTCTTATGAAGTTTTCTATTCATCGACAGATACGAAGAGAGAAAAAAAACTATGGAAATAAATGGTTAAAAGCACTAAAAAAATTACTTCTATGTAATTATCGTGGTGATTAGGACGCAAATATGACTAATCAAGCGGTTGATTTGACTGTTTATATAATCAGAAGAATGAAGAATGACTCATGTCAGTATAGAGGCCGATCTGGTTTGGTCTAACTGTTCCCAGTGGTTTTTTTCATCTCGTGGAAATGTTTTTTGAAAAATTTTCTTTTCATTGCGCATACAACATTAGAATGCACTGTTTTAACTTAAGATAAAATACAGCATTCTTTCTTATTAGATGATACTACTAGAAATGAGACAATATCCGAGATCTGTGTCATACTTGTGTAAACAGAGAAACTTCAATCAATCCACAGAATTATTCAATATAAGTCTTTTGTATGTTTTCTAATGCAATGAAAAAGATAACTCATCATTCAAATAAAAAAGATGTGATTATTAAATGATAATATTAATCATTCTTAAATTTTACTCACGTTTCTTGTATTGTTTGAAATAAAAATAAAACAAAGCTATGGTTTGCTTGAGTTATCCTCATAACATGGCCCTTTTATTATTGACTATTTGACATTCTTATCTATGATATATCAAAAATAACTAAGTCTATATGTTCTGTCTGTATACGTGAATAAATGATTTATGCATTCATAAAAAATCAAAAGACAAACAAGATAAATAATTCAGTGCAACAATATATGCTTTTCATCAATGGAATATCCTTGAAAAATACAAACAAAATATACAGATACAATTGAGATTTCATACTCTTTTATTTTATATAATCTAAAGTTCAATTCAACGGCACAAACAAAGATTTTGATAAGCAACATGTAAATGATTGAAAATAAGATCAAATTTTCCAATTATTGTATTTTTTCTTTCTTTTCTAACTTTTTCAAAGTCTTGCAATCATATATGATGTATGATCTGTAATATTGCAACCATCATGCATCAGCACTAATGAATCGTAGAAAATATTTTTCATCTATTGTTTGAAAGTATCGGGTGATCCAGAAATAATGAGACACTTTTGTGATCAATGAATTGCTGTTTGATGTCAAACCAATAGAAATTTCAGAAAAAAGCTCATTCGACAAAGAATTTCAATTTTTACAAGAAATTTTCAGTTTTTTTCAGAGAAAGAAAACCTTAAAAGGATTTCACAGATTTTTTTTCATTGTTGTAGAATAAAGATTAACTTTAAGCATTTTATTTCGGTTTTTGAAATGTTTCAAATATAGGTCTAAAGTAAACAAATGCATTAACATAGACCATTGAAAATCTTCTATACAATATAGTAGAAAAATATTTGACAACAGCGTATTTTTTATTTGTTTTTATAATGCTAAGTAATCAGCTCAAATCAAGATAGTGATTTCCATAGATGAACTGTGATGGCACGGTTTTAAAAAATAGGATAATAGTTTTCAGGTTCCAAAGTCTATCTTTTAACAATGCCATGTTAAAGTTTGCAAAATGACTGGTCGCTACATTTTCTACGATCTTCCCTTAAAAAGTTCAAAGTATCACAAAAATCGAAAGAAAAGGCTTTTTCTTAGTCGTTTTATAATGCATTTTAACCTTTTAAAGAACTTGTCGTGGGTGTAGGCACGTAGATTAGAATGTCGTTGAGGATAGACAAAAGATTCTCACTCACATCAATATTCACATATTATCTGAATTTTAGTTAGATGCTTAACATTATAAAGAAAAAAAAACCAATAATACGTTGTTGTTAAATTTTCTTCCATAATCTTACATGTCTTTTTATTTTGCAGCATTTCATAATTTTTTTTTTTATATACGAATACCGTTCGTTTATTCTAAATAATCGCAAATACTAGTCGATGTTTGACTATATTAAGTACATAGTTTACTGCAAGAGTTTAATTAATCTATAATAAGAAAATCAGAACAAAAAAAGAATTGTAAAAAAAAAAGACATGTCTTTCTATTCATTGTGGTTCTAAGAATAAATCCGTTGAATAATTACTAAAGTCTTGATTTTGTTGAATTTGTTCGAATGTATAGAATTTTATATCTTCATTCATTATTTGATTTTCTATTGAATGATGTTGTTTATGATGAGCATACAGTTGATTTTTATGAAGAAAACCTTTTCGGCACACTTCACAACTATAAAGAATTTATTAATTGATTTTTTTTTTTTTATAAAACTATAAATAAAAATTATGTCATTACCAAAATGGATATTGATGTGAATGTCGTACAATATCATGATCACGTAAATGTTCTGGTCGAACAAATGTTTTAATACATGCATGACATTTAAATAATCCACCAGATGCTGTATGTTTAGCTGCATGTTGTTTTAATTTATCTTTTCTAAGAAAAAGTAAAATTTTTTTTCTGAAATATAATTCATTTGATTTTAATTTAATTTACCGAGCAAATGCTTGTTCACAACCATCTTGTTCACATTTAAATGGTTTTATATTTGAATGTTTTGTAACATTATGTCGATTTAAATGAAATGTTGTTTTAAATGTTAAATTACAAGTTGAACAACTTTTTTGATTTGGTAAATCTTCATTATGTTGTGTTATAACATGTCGTGATAAATCATTTCGTTTTTGAAATGATTCAATACATATTGTACAACGATAAAGTGCAGCATCGGAATGTTTTGCTATATGATTATGATATGAATTATTAGATTCAAATTCAGCTGGACATAATTCACAAAGAAATTTATGTGTTTCATAATGCATATGATATTGTAATTGTTCAGATGTTTGAAAAGATTTTTTACATATTCTACAACGATATGTACGTTTATGATGACGATGATAAGCAGTACTACGAGATGAACGTCGAGAACCCTTATGTCGTTTTTGACTATGAATACGAGCATGAAGAATATAATCAACAGGTTTATCAAATAATTGAGAACAAGCTTCATTTAAACAACGAAAGACTGGATTAAGACAATGAACTAAATGAAAGTAAATAGAAATATCTAGAGTTCGTTCCAATAATATTTACAATTGAGATGATTACTAAGAAATTACCCAAAGCTTTGATAGGAATTTTATGGAACTCACATCTATTTTCGAAGAAAATAATGAGTATAACTTTAAATAGGAAGTTTTGTGGCTCTTTCCCTCCTCAGGCTCTAATAATCAAGAGTGAAAGTAGAGAAGCCATAAACCATTGGATATGTTTCCATAGCAATAGGAAAAGGTGTGTCAGTAATAATAAAGCTTATATCATTCTGGGATTTAGTCTATTTTCGCCGAAGACAAATTTCTCCTAAAACAAATTCGCCGAAAATGAAGTTCGCCGATTCCATTTTCGCCGAATGAATTTATCACCGAAAAAAAAAAAAGTTGAATTTAATCGGTCACATAGACAATAATTATATTTTAGATAATTATTCCATGATACTAAGTCAGTTAGAACCACGTGAGATGGCTTCCAAGTCGGTTGAATTGACTACCAAGTCAGATGGTAGCTCTATGAGTTGGTAGCCATGTGAGTTGGTAACTATCTGAGTTGGTAACCATCTGAGTTGGTAACCATCTGAGTTGGTTACCATCTGAGTTGGTTACCAAGTCGGCTACCTTCAAAAAATGGATGAATATTACACGCTTTGCGTTTATGATAAGTTAAAGTGAACGTAGGAACGGGGCTTTGTTTAGATACAAATGCGCATGTGTTCATTTCATATATTTAACTAGTACTTGAAAACGAGAAGGAAACGAAAGAAAAATATCTACTGATCAATTCGAAACAAAAATCATTTTTA